GAGGGTTAATAGAAATTGAGTCGGCTTTCAACTCTGCTATCACAAGTCTGAGCAACTATATCGCTCTTAACAGAGATAAATATTGCAAGGCAATAGCAACCCACGATGAAAAGAAGGCGAAATACTCTATTCAAAAAGAAGCTATCAATATCCTAGTCAAATTCTCTAAACAAGAAACAACTACACAAAATATTGAGAAAATTTAATATTAAAAAAAAAAAAAAAAAATAGAGAGTTTAGAACAAAAGCGTTTGCATGGACAATTCTACCGAAATCTACATAAACCGACAGTCGATCGGGAAGGAAGTACATTATGGTTAAGAAGTTCAGGACTTAAAGGAGAAACAGAGAGTCTCATCATCGCCACTCAGGATCAAGCACTTAAGACCAGATATTATCAGAAAAACATCCTAAAACAATCTATAGACAGCAAATGTAGAATGTGCAATAGAGCGGAAGAACATATCAGCCATCTGGTAGCTGGATGCTCCACGCTTGCTCCGACAGAATACACCCATAGACATAACAAGGTTGCAGCATACATACATTGGATTATATGCAGAGAGTTAGGTGTACAGGTGCAGGACAAGTATTATGAACACGTTCCCGAGAAAGTTCTAAATATAAACGACACTGTAGTCCTATGGGATGTGCCAATTATCACAGACCGAACAATATTAGCCAACAGGCCGGACCTAGTATTCCATGACAAGAAAAACAGTATCTGCCTCCTGATCGACGTGTCTGTTCCAGACGACAACAACATATCAGCGAAAGAAGTAGAGAAGATCAGCAAGTATAAAGATCTTGAAATTGAAATCAGCAGAATGTGGAACACGAAGACGAAAGTAGTCCCAGTGGTAGTTGGTGCACTGGGTATGCTTACTAAAGGTCATAGTAATTTCATCAAACTTATACCTGGCCATCCATCAACGAACGAAGTACAGAAGATAGCTTTGCTGGGAACAGCACACATACTCCGAAAGGTGTTAGGGTGAATACCTTAGGTCTCTTGTTGAGACCCGGATTCACCTATTACCGCCAATTAAGAAGGCGAGAAGAGAATGGAATGAAATAATAATAATAAATAGTCTTTATTGTAATCCATAAGTATTACAAAAGGCTAAGTTGAAGCATTGCTTCCTATCTTAACCTATCCTACTTATCTCGGAATGAAAATATCCAAAGGTGTAAAACACTAGATGAGGCAATTTCGAAAGAAACATGCAAGACTGAAAAGCAGTTTCAATGCTAAATGGAATGCTATGGGATAAGAACAAGACAAGACAACAAATAAATTCCATCGTAAAAAGCATAATTACCTACAGCTCTAGTACTAGTATGGCCCTTGAAAGAGAAAGCTGAAAGACATGACATTAGAACTCAGCAATTAATATGCTATGGACATGTGCAAAGAATGGTAGAACATCGAATTCCAATGAAAATATTAAATTGGAACCCTCAGGGTAGAAGAAAAAGAGGAAGACTACGCAAGACCCGTAGAGGGGGTATTGATAAAGATTTTTTTTGTACAGAGGTTTGGAAGTAGATGCAGGGGGAGATAGAAAGAGGTGGAGATTACGAATTGGAAGACGGAAAACGTTGTTAACCGATTTCAAGCTATGAAATCTATCTTTATAAGTTAAATAGGAAAGCAAACAATGTATTCTAATTATAAAGAGGCCACGACATTTATTTTTAATACTGTTTATAAAAGCACAATATGATCGAAATAAAATTATTGATTTTTTCAATTTTCTTGTATTAGGTACTCTACGAAAAAGCTGACGTTCAATAAAGTATGAGATATGATAAAAATAAGTATGAGAATAATGTTAAAATAAGTTATTTACATAATTAACTGCTTTTAATCAATTAGTCATGTTAAAATTAATGTTATATTTTTGTTTAATTAATTATTTTAGTAATACCGTATGGTAAAAAGACGGCGTCCAGTTGGCTTGGAAATGATCGATGACATTCCCCATATAATTTTTCATATAAAATGACGGCGAACTTAATTTCATAGCCATCGCTAACGTCATTTTTTTTCGATCATACTATATTATATTAAGAATTTCGTTTACTTTAGTTTGTTCTAAATTTTTTGATAAATAATAGTTCTTATACATGATATAAACATATTTTCACGAACCGCGAATGTATTACTTATTATATCTTAATGTGCACGTTGTGTTATATTATAATACGTTATTTACTGAAATGACTAGGCAGATCACATATGGCTGCCAAACACCGTAGCTCTTAGGCATTCTCTGTAAAGACTTGCCAATAAATGTATTTATTGTTTATACGTCTATTTAGTGCATTATGTTATGTAGAATTAGACATAGGATGGGCCACTGAAAACTTACAATGGCTATAATTTTTAAACCAAAAAAGATATAAAAAACCGTTTCTATAATATCGAGGGGGAATACAGATGACGTATTTTTTGAACCACCCCGACATACCCCTTAGGGGGCACCCCTACTCACTTGAAAATCTTAAATGGCAACACCCCACTTGTGGCGCCTTTTTGGAAAGTCCATGAAAAATGCTAAACGATGACCATAAAGCTTTTAGGGTGAAATTGAAAAACTATCCCTTACACGAAAAATTAGGTGGACATTAATGAAAAAAATGATTTTTTCAGCATAAGTTACAAATTGGGACCTAGCTAAATGAGGCAAATGAGGTATTTTTCAAACCACCCCGACCCACCCCTAGGTGCCACCACCTCACTTCTAATCTCAAGATAGCAATACCCCACTTGTGACACTTACTGGTAAGTAGTGATAAGAAATGTAGGTGTGACAAATTGAAAGAAATTTAAAATTATAATTTATTTTAACAATTACTCAAAATGACAGCCGTTTTGTTCCATACAAAAATACAAACGATTTTCAAATTCTTCTCTCACTTTTTGGAAAATCTCTCTCGGAATATTTCGACATGCTTCAGTTATCCTCTGTCGCAATTCTTGCAACGAACCTGGTAGACTATGGATTTAGTGTAACCCCACAAGAAAAAGTCTAAAGGAGTGGTCTCTTGGCAGACACTCAATTGGACCCCTTCTGCCAATCCATTGCCTTGGATAATATCTATCCAACCACCGCCTTGTGACAATATAATAATAGAGGGGCTCCATCTTGCTGAAAGCGTATGAGGTTTTCATTAAGAGATAAATTTCCTTCCAAATCTCTTTAATTTTTAACCTCATTTACAATGGCTGGCTCTCTCAAATTGTTCAGCATTTCCACATAAGTATCACCAGTCAGATTTCCGTCGTTGAAAAATGGACCTATAATTTTATCGCTATAATAGTATTCCGCACCAAACATTGAGCTTTTGGGGATGTTGGGTGTGTCCTTCAACAACAATTTGCGGATTATCATCGCTCCAGTATCTGCAGTTCTGCTTATTCACATTTCCGTTTTAAAAAATATGAGCACTCATCACTAAAACAAATATATTTAGTGAGTGAAGGTTCCCTTCGAATTCCCTCCATCATTAGTTCACAGAATTGAATCCTTCTACCTGGATCGTCCTCGCCAAGTTCCTGCAGAATCTTCATTTTGTAGGGATGGAATTTGTGTATTTTCAATAATCTTCTGACAGATGTTCGAGGTATACCTGTGATTGATGCCAACTGGAGTGTTGATGCTTCTGGATTGACCGATACCTGACCAATAACTTCCCTGTCCTTTTTTATTTTTAACCGATCCAGTTTCTTGAAACTTTAGAATCAAATCTCTAACATAAACGTGAAACGTGACATACGTTTTTGTCCGGATTTTCTCACTCATTGAAAGCACGGGCCGTTCTCAAATACCACATGCCTTCAGCACCATAAAAAACTATTTGAATTCTTTCTTCCACAGTATAAACCATTTTTCTTTCAAATAAGCGAATCAAATAAAGGTTTAAAATACCACCAAATTTGCAACGATTGAAAATCGATAGAAGACAGTGCAAAAACGCAAAGATATGCCGTTTTAAGATTCCTGTTTGTTGAAAGTAAAAAAATAGATGATAAAGAAGAATTTGCGTTATCGCAAAATTAGGCTGAACGATTTGTAAAACATCTTTGTATTGCCTTTTTTATTATCTACATTTTTTATTTTTAGTTTCAAAATGGCAATGGTTTCAAAACGGCATTCATGAGATTAGAAGTGGGGTGGCACCTAGAGGTAAGTCGGGGTGGTTTGAAAAATACCTCATTTGCCTCATTTAGCTGGGTCCCAATTTGTAACTTATGTTGAAAAAATCACTTTTTTCATTAATGTCCACCTAATTTTTCGTGTAAGGGGTAGTTTTTCAATTTCACCCTAAAAACTTTATGATCGTTTAGCATTTTTTATGGGCTTTCCAAAAAGGCACCACAAGTAGGGTGTTCCCATTTAAGATTTTCAAGTGAGTAGGGGTGCCTCCTAAGGGGTAGGTCGGGGTGGTTCAATACATACGTCATATGTATTCCCCCTCGATATTATAGTAACGGTATTTTTTTTTTTTTTACATCTTTTTTGGTTTAAAAATTATAGCCATTGTAAATTTTCAGTGGTCCACCCTGTATAACATTTATACTTATTTTCCAAGAAACTAGACTGATATTATTTAAACGAAAATAAGAAAAAACCTTTACCTCATAATAAAATAAGAAAAAATCTAACCTCACACTACTGCAAAGGTACGCTGTAGTTTGAAGGCAATACATGATTGACTGAGCATGTCAGGGAATGAGGAATTTCACTTTTTGACGCCGACATATGATTGGAAAAAACAGCGTCAAGTTGTTTTAGAAATGATGATCGTTGATATTAACCATATAATCTCTTGCGTATATTATAATATCCGCCATCGTCATTTAGAAGCCAACTCTGATGCCGTTACTTTTTCGATTGTATGGTTTAAACTTTTGAAAAAAAATCTTTGTGGAACAAAAACCGTTGAAAAATATCAGACTATAATAAATATCAGCATATTGTTGTTTATATTACCATCAAAGCTGTATTGGTAGTCATAGCACCAAATGGGCCAATTGTTACCACTAATGGTTTTTGCGATCTCATTATCATTATCATAAACGTCTTCTGCACCTTTACGCTTGCTTCTTGCCAGGGACATTGAAAGATATAATCGGCAAAATTTAAACTCTGAAATGTGTAGTTTTATAAAATTATGGTTAACACTGTCAACTAAACTATTGTGTCCTCACCAAATAGAAAAAAATGAAGAGATTAATACATAACGTATTTAAATTCTGATTGAAGTAGCATTTTTGCCGGCATGACAGTTGTCGCATGAGATATGTCAAAAACAATTTTTGTCATGCTGAATTAAGCTTGATTTTCATTCATCTGTTATTCGACGATACGGTATTAATTTTATTGGTTGAATATGAAAATTTCGATTGGTTAGAAACGGTTAACCAATCGAAGCCTTTAAATTCAGCCAATAAAATTAATATTATCGTATCTTCCGACAACGGACCCATGGAAGTCAAGCTTTAGTCCCGTAGAATTATGTTTTTGTCAAAAACGCAATAATAAAAATTTCTCCTATTTTTTGGGAACATTTTGTGTACAAACTCGCTACTGCTATTATGCTGTTTACCTGTATTTTAATTTCATTGGCTGTCCATGAGAAAATAAATATCTGTATGGTTATCATGCAGGCGAAGAAAAACGTGAACACGATTTCAGCTGATTTTTTTACCTAAAAAGTAATGGTAGATATAGTACTTCGTCAATAAAAGGCATACTTATATGAAGTATTATCACACATATCTACTAATTTTACTAATAATTAAAAAAAATTTACACATATACACGAAATAATTTTTTACAAGCGTCGCAAAAAAATTAGTTATGTTTAAACCACTGTCAAGAAAGTTGTAGCATATTCAACTGTGAACTAGTAATAGACAATATTAAGTTTAAGTTGTACAGGGCGTCCCATTTTCGTGTGTTACGGGTATGTTACGGGGTATCTCGCTTACGTGTAGAGATACAAAGATGCGGTTTTCACATCACTGCTACTTTTGCTACTTTTTTATGAAACTATAGCTGCTACACACAGATTTGTCCTAGCCCTCTTAGTTCCTGAAATACAGGGCGAAATTAATGTTGTATTTTTGGATCCCCTTCATATCTCGGTTACCTTATAGCTTATCGAAAAGGTGAAAATTGAACCCAGTAGGCATTTTCACGTAGAATCCAGTGGCCTAACTAGTTTTTCGTTGGGAGCTGCCATTCTCGAAATATAACCTAAACTTATGTTTTTTTTTAAACGGATTTTTTTTATTAAATTTGCCTTGTCATGGGCTTTCTAAAAATATAATATACCCTAGACTTATTTTCATAAATAAGGTAAAAAATACGTTTTTTAACTTTATAACGTTGGCAGCCGATTTATAATAGTCATGACAATTGAATAATTTATTCATCGTCAATTTTGGCTATTGTCTTTTCCATGCTAGTTTCCATGTTGTTTTTTGATTCACTATAGGTACAAAACATGGCAAAACAACAAAATTTTAATTATTTCGAAAAATATGATATGAATAAATAATAGTTCTTTGAGAATTTGAATTCCCTTCGTAAATACAATATTCAATTATTCATCTTTCCAAAATGAAACAAGACACACTGAAACCGAATCTCCATTGGCGTTGCCTTGGAGAAATAACATGTTCATTTTCTTGGCTCCAAAATCTTGAATTCTGCCTATTTCGGATACCCGTACTATTAAAATACGCTTCGTCCGACCAAATGATCTTCTTGTGAAAATTATTCACTCTTCCACACATGTCGATGTACCAGTTGTAAAACTCGGCTCTAGGCGCAGGATCCCGAAGGTAAAAATGATGCACAAGTTTATATTGATAAGGTTTGAATTTAAATTGTTTTAAATTTTTTTGCATTTTGGTTTTACACTCACATCCTCCTCTATGCATCTACAAGATGTCTCTATGTGTGGCTTCACCTGATGCCAAAATATTTACCTCAGATTCTTCATTTTATTTGTTATATCTTTTTGATCTGGGTTTGTTAAAACATCCATATTGAATTAGGTTGCCCTGTATTTTATCCAAATAGAGCTCTGCCGCTGCATCAGAATCTTCGTTGGCTAATATAAACATTTATTTTCTTTCAAACGAAGCGCACGAATATACAAGAATCTGATATTATTCGTACAGACGATACACATTTAACACCAGAAAACAACGTAAAATTTTTAGGATTATATCTAGACAAAAATCTTTCATGGAGTTTACATGTTAAACATGTTGTTCAGAAAATCTCTAGATCGGTCTACAACCTGCGTATATTAAAAAGATATTTAGACTTTAAAACTTTAAAAAGTATATACCACGCCATATTTGAGAGTAACATCAGGTATGGAATGGTAATATACGGAAGTACAAATGAACTACATAAAATATTTTTAGTTCAGAAAAAAGCCCTACGCGTTATGTTAGGCATGAACATTAGGGAATCATGTAGAAATAAGTTTAAAGAGAATAACATACTAACAGTGGCAGCTATTTTAATTCAGGAGTGCACTTTATTTTTCTTTAAAAATAAAAACCTATTTGACATTGATAAGCCACAGATATTATATAACACCAGGCATTCTGATTATAATTATCCAGTCCACAGGCTTAAATTAACAGAATTAGGACCATATTATTATTGTTTGAAATTATTTAATAACCTACCCGATTATATAAAACAAATATACAATATCGTGCCTTTCAAAAATCATTTCTATAAATTTTTAATAGATTTGGAACCATATAATTTAAAGGATTACCTATCTGTAAATTAATGTAAATTAATCATAAAACTAGGTTAAGTTATTTTTGTTTCTTTGACTCTGTTTCGTTTTATCCTTGCTTATATATTAATAGTTAGTCAATGTGCCTGTATAAGTCGATGCTGCCAACTGGTGGCAGAAATTAAAACGTAAAAAGGGGCGGAGACTATTGAATTTGGAAAAGAAGTAGGGACTAGGAATTCTTCGAATTTAATTCTCGGTAAAGAATAAAATATCTTATCTGATTCGAACCGAATTTATACCTCAAAGCGTTATTTACATTTTTTAGTTTTGGACATGGATTTATATTTATTTTGATTTTCATGGCCACTTGTTGGATACTAAAGTATTATATTAGGTATATAAATATTTTATTTTTAGATGGATAATTAAAGAATATAATATGAAACTATACCTACCTACGTCTGTAACTTTGTAAAAAGTGTGGCGGATTTAACATAATGTTTTTTTTAAATGTAACATCCTATTTTATTTTAGATTCTGCGTAACATTCTATTATATTTTTTACGTATATTTCTTGTATAACGGTGTAACCTAAAACTAGTTTTATAATATTTCAATTTGTTGATGAAGAAAAAATATTAGATATTTATATGTAGATATTTAAGGTAGATGCTACAGGGTGTTCAATATATATTTTTGAAATTCGACTACGTATTTAAAATAGAAAAATATCTGCAGATTCTTTCAATGACGCAGCCTATACTGAGTGTTTTTTCAAAAGCGGTTCACCTCTATAACTTTTTTATTTTTTCAGATAAAAAAATTAAATTCGGGGTTTACCAAATTCGGAATGTTAGTAGGTATATAACATAAATCGAGATTGATTCGTATTCCGTTAGTTTCGGTCACTTCCTGTTTCACCGGAAATGTATACGAGTACAACATTTGATTTTTAAATGGTACCCTCAGTATTTTTTATACTTTATTTGATAGAAAATGACATTCTGAATAGAATGACATATATCATATGTCAACTTTTGACATTTTCAATTAAAAAAAATAGCATTTTAAAATTCAATCTAGTGTCATGGCTGTGTTAAAACCATTAATTTTTAATCAAGGAGCTTCGGAAAAATTGATTTGATCGTCTAATATTTTTTGTGTCTTTTCCTTTTTGGTACCTGGTAAATAGGTAATTTGGTACCACACACTTCGTATATCGAGTCAAACTGTCGTTACCTTTACGACCGGTTACATGTTGTTTTTTATCATGGCACTCTAGATTGTAATTTAAAATACAATTTTTTAAGTAAATATGTCAAAAGTTGACATTAAATTATTCTATTCACAATGCCATATTCTGTCAAATAAAGTAAAAAAATACCGACGGTACCATTTAAAAACCAAGTTGTAGTCATTTCCGGTGAAACAAGAAATAACCGAAACTAATTGAATACGTCAATCAAGCCACTTTTGAAAAACACCCGGTATATTATATTTTTTTCTGATAGATTTTACAAAATTCTTCAATTTCTATTAATAATGTCATATAACTATATAAATTACTTTAATGCTTAATAATAAATAATTTTTGTTTTGTCATGGCAAAACTTGTTATAGTGTAAATGAAGTAAAAGAAGGATAAAAATTGAAAAATTCAGAACAGATTGCAAGCTGTATAGAGTATAGATGTACTTAATATACTTTCTTAACAAATGTTGAAAGGTTTTGTAAAAGCACTAGAAAAAATAATAATATATAGGATCAGCCAAAAAAATCTGTTTGAACACAGTGTAGCATCTAACTCCAAGTATTTTTACATATATCTTTTTCTTCACCTCTGTAAAACACTCCTACCAAATTTGTGTAGCCCAACTTCGGAAACCACTGACAATTATGTAACATAGGAAAATATTTTTTTTGCAAATACTAACGTTATTTATAAAAAAAAAGTTATAGCATTTTAGGCAGAATCGAAAATAAAATAAAAGTTATAAATAAGAGTTTTGCATTAAAAAACATGTTACATTATATCCGCCACATTTTTTGAAGCACCCATTATACTCAAAAATAATATTTGAACTGTGTCTCTTAAGATTCTCTATACCTTTTTTTTGAATTCCCAAAACAAACGAGATAATTAACTTTTTTTATTTCCTGATATCTCATTTTATAATATTTCGGAAGAATCAATCAGGTATCTTATTTTTATAATTATTAGAAATAAATCGGATTTAAAGGATAAGGGATATGTAAGTGTATACCATACGATAAAAAAAAACGGCGTTCAGAGGTGGCTTGGTAATGAATATCGATGTCATATATTTGTACATAAACAAATAGACGCCGTTTTTTTTCGCTCATACCATATAAGAAAACAAATTTAATAAAACAAACGCATTTATTAATATATGTATATAGATTTACATGGTATGAAAAATTCGCATTATAATCTCTGAAGGTCCTACCATGGTCCCAACAATGGTTGGTTAAAGTGGCGAGTACGACCACTTATCAGTC